TAGGCCATTAATACATAAATATATTTTATATAGATAGATGGAGACAACTGCCTACATTTTGGAATTTCTTTCAGAGTGTCATTATGGGGACGATTGTGATGACAGCCAGCACTTCAAAAAAATACCGATGTTTAACTCTATAGATAGTATCTAAAGGATGTCCAATTAAATCAATTGCTGACTGGTAAATCTGCACTTATGAAAATCCCATTGATGTAATAGATTTACTCTAGTTGAGATTACTAGTTGGGCTTAGACCATTAAGTGTTTCCTATACTTTTCTTTGCTATATAGAAAGAGCATCTTCTAAAACAGTGGTTTTCAACCCATGGGCCCCCAGACGTTTTTGCCTTCATCTCCCAGAAATCCCAACAGCTGGTAAACTGGCTGGGATTTCTAGGAGTTGTAGGCCAAAATAGCTGGGGACACACAAGTTGAGAACCACTGTTCTAAAACAAGGATGGGCAAAATAAATCCCGAAAACTGCATGTGACTCTGGAGGCTTCCTCAGAGTCAGAAGACATTTGGAAGAAAATCTTCAAAATGTACTTGCCCCAGAATGTCTTCCTAGTTCCCTGTAAGGGGCATGGGGCATTGTTGCCATGCTCCCCCCCCCCCCCCCCCCCCCCCCCCCCGCCGCCCAATAAAATCAAAACAAAACATTTTAAGCCTGGGAAAGTACTTTTGGTTAATTCTTGTGAAGATACACTAAGCAAAAATATACATTTTTTTTAAAAAAAGGTGTCAACATTATATTATTAAGGTGACACAAATCACTGCTGCTTAACCTGTACATTCAGTTTTAAGGAAGTTACTGAAGATGGAAGGCCTCTGTTTGGTGGGGGCACTAATAAGTCCGCTGATGACGGTACTTTAAGACAGAAAACCTAATTCGAGAAATGGGTGAACAACAAAATCTTAGCACAAAACAGTACATATTAATTTGGCATGAGAGTTCAGGAACTGTTTATTACCTATCTTTTGATGTCAGTACAAATATTCAGTTATTTGGTCTGTATGTTATTGCAACACGTTATCTAGCTCAATAAAACTAGCAAGCTTTCACAGTTTGAGGTGTGGCCATGGCCAAAGCTTTCCTGGCAAGGGATACCGTCTTGCCTTGTGGGTGCCATCAGATTTTTCATATACTATAACCAGAATTTACAAAGGTGACTTTTCTTTTTTCAATCTATTTTATTAAGGGTAAAGGGAAGGGGGGGGGCAAGGGTGAGGAACACAAAGGGGAAGAGAAGATATTTTTCTGCTTTTCTTTTACAAGTAAAGTGGGAGAACAATAAAATAATAAAATAGTAGGAAAACCTATATAGAGAAAGAAAGATGGAGAAAAATGGGAAAAGAAAAGAAAAAAAGTGAAAAGAAAAAAATACTGAAAAATTGAAAAAAATAAACAAAAAAATTATTACTTCCATCTAGTCCTTTGTGGCTTTGCCTTTATCTTTACCTACATAATTACCAATCACGGTTGGCTTTCATAACATTTCAATAAAACAAATCGGCTCTTTATGTTTCTCCCTTACATATTAATATCTTTTAAAGGATCTGATTAGCTTCTCGTTCTTGTCTAGCTGAATAAAGGTCAGATTGTTTTTTTAAAAAAAACTGCAAAGGCAGTCCCTAAGTTACAGACAAAAAAGGTTCTGTAGCTTTGTTCTTAAGTTGCATTTGTATGTGAGTCGGAACATGAACATTTTAAAGTGTAACTCCAGCCATATATATAAAAGCTTTGGATAGCCTAGGGAAGGCTTAACCCTGCTGTAGTGTTGGTTTTGCTGCCTGTGCCCCTGTTCAGAAGATTTCACCACTTTCTGTCCCTGTTATAATTGGGTTTTTGAAAATTTTGGCATATTACGGAAACAAGTATTAGTGAGAAAGCTTCAGTGGAGCCACCTTTTCCCAATGATAACCCTTTTAGGTGAGAATTTCACTTTCAATTTCCCTCACTTCATATAGTTTCACCCCCATGCTTAACTAGGGGCTTCATCACACTAGAGAAAAAATCCACTTAAAATCCAGATTCTGCCTCCTACAGGATTCTGGGGTTTGTAGTTTAGGGAGGAGCCTTTAACAGCCTCACTAAACTACAAAGCCCAGAATTCTGCAGGAGGCAGAAACTAGATTTAAAGTGGATTCGTTCTCTAGGGTGATGAAGTGGTAGAAATCATTTGTAAGTCAGGTGTTTTGTAATGCAGGTATTGCCTATATTCTATCTTACAACCCTTACCAGATCTTAAGAGAGAGTCTAGCATGATCCCCTTTCTGATGGCTTATTTAAATAGAGTGCCCAATCTACAGGTGTTGGGATCTCCAAATGGAAAAATATACAAAGATAGGCAGGACTTCTGGCTCTTGATTCAGTGGTCAATAGCTTTGATCTATTCACCAGAAGCAAACAAGCTGGGCCAAGAAGAGAAAGTGGCTGACCTCACTGAATTTGTATGCTTTGGACCTCTGCCTTTTGAAGTGTACCCAGTGCTCAGTCAAAGGATAGACTGGGACATACATCCATTGCCATCCAGGGTCAACAGAATGAGTCCCATTCTCATAGGAAAAAGAAACACAGTCTTCCCCAGACAGTGTGACACACTTTCTCCAGTTGCTGTGACACAGATTCTCTCCAGCTTTCAAAACTGCATGCATTGTGAAACTATCAGGCAGAAGATTTGTCCAGTTTTATCCCCATTTCTTCCGTGGTTTGGGGGGGGGGGATATTCTAAGTTTTGTAGCATAGACACAGAAGAAGGCCTCTCTTCCCTATTTGTGTGGAGAAACAAGGTTATACTTACATTCAGGTTTTTGTTGAAATGAAGAACATTTCTTCCCACTTTAGCAATAATAATCAATATAATAATTGTATTAAATATAATATAACTGTATTAAGTGCTGTAGGTCAGAAGAACCCCACATGACCATCTGGCTATTGTAGCAGGGTATACCTTAGTAAATGCCACTATGGCTACTAGATCATTGGAGAGAAGGGAGAAAGAAATTTCAAGGAAGTACAGCTTTATACTTAGAGTCCTAGAATTTTAGAGATGAAAGGGTTGCAAAGGCCATCTAGTGCAACTCCCTGCCATGTCCCTTGCCTTCATTGAAATGAGAGCAATGACAGATTTGGTTCAAAGGCCAAGCAGAATGAAAATACATAACATGGCTCACTGGAGTACATAGAAATGAGAGATGGTTTCAAAAAGGAAAGTGGAGGAACAATTTTTCTTTCTCATCCTCATGAAATGTCCTCCTACTGTGATATATTGTGCTAAAGAGAGCAGGTATAGGGCTATCTGACAGCTCAAAATCTAAAAATGAGTGTATATATTTAAGGAGAAATTAGGAAAGTTGCTTCATGCAATTTAACCTTTTGCTAAGAAGAAGTTTCCCTCCCACTATCATGGTACATATTTGCCAGATCCCATGACCCATCCAAGTTAGTGCTGGTGAACTCAAACCACCATCTTCTACTGTAACTGATATCTCCAACATTTCATGTTCAACTGTCATCTGTATGCTGTAGTGACTAAACAGAGTTCCTGTTGGTGGTAGTTAATGTTTAATTTGCAAACTACGATCATACATTTCAGCATACCTGGGAGTTCACCAAGTATGCAGAAGTACCTTTTTGTTTTCATCCCCCCCCCCCCGGTACCTGTTTTAATGCCCCCCCCCCGAATGTTAATAGTCCTGGACCCCCATGTAATAGGTACAGAACTATTAACATTCAGCACTGGAAGAAATGATAGGATCACAAAGGCTTCTAAATGTGCATAGTAAGGTTCCGTATCTTTCAGTGTAATATTTTTCAAGATTGATTTACAAGGATAAGCCTGGGAAAATAGGTAATATAAATGACTGAAGTGAAAGCACTGGGAGGATAACACTTATTACCCTTTCAGAGTTATATGGTTTCAGGTTAGAGATTAACTAGCCTTTCAGTTTCGCGAAAGAATGGACGGAATCTTATGTGTGTCATTTTTCCACTCCAGGAGCTTAAAACCTTTTAAGGTAACAGTTCATACTTCAAATATCATTTTTCCATTTTGAAAATACTAGTACTTAGAGCAGCAGGGTGAAAGTAGTTATATTATGTTAGTCTGGCAGCCCATGAGCTCAAATACCACCAACACACTTCAAGAAGGCTGCATTATTTTAACAGGCAAGCAAATGATGGTGATGGAGGAAAAGGGGGGAGTGGGCCCTTTCAAAACTTTAACAGGTTAAGGGATTAAAATTACTTCTCAAGAGCTGGGAGGAATTAATTATTCTATCACACTGTAACAAAATATAGAAAATCCACATATGGAATATCCTATTTGGGGGCGCATTATAGAAAATCTTACGAAAAACGAAAGAGCAGTAAAAATACAGTGAAATGTGCACTTTGGTTCTCTGGATGTTGAAATGTATTCCCTACTAATTGCATTGAAGCAAAAGCATGAAGATTGTATGGTCTGACGTATACAGTAGAGTCTCGTTTATCTGACCTTCGCTTATCCGACATTCCATCTTATCCGGTGCCCCCTTTTCCTCCAGCATTCCCCCTTCAATTAAAAAAGTGCTCTCCAACTCTCTCTCCATTTCCAATATGTGAAAAAGGCAAGACGAGGAGGAGGAAAAGAGGCAGGACTGGAAGTGGAAGCGTCCTCCCTCCTTCACTCTGTGATTTCCATGCTCCTTTTCCACATCCGGGCACTTCCTGCTGTGCCGCTCTAGCCCCGAGGCATTGCCTTGCCTTAACCCTTTTGACTCCTTGTTTTTAGTATTCTAGGTGTCTAGCACCACATTGGACAAGTAACAGTAGGAGATTACTATCGGAAAATTTCATTTATCCGACATTCTGCTGGCCTGTTTATATCGGATAAGCGAAACTAATGTCAAACCTAGAATATTCTGTGAATAGAGTATGTAACATTGGGATTTTAACCAGTTGTTTCAGATGTTGTGCTACATACAGTGACATACGTTGTCATTTTTCTTTTTCCCAGGTTACTATCTACTTGGAAACTAATAACTGAAGAAGGGCAGTTTTTGTGATGCCAGGGGTGCTGTCCCGAGAGTAAAAAGAAAAAGAGGACCACTACTTGTTGCAAACTTGAATGGTATTGTAAAAGACTGGAGTTGTAAAGACAACATTTTATTTATCAACTGTGGGATTCCTGAACACTGAAACATTGACTGATACCATCTTACATATTTGGAGCTTTGTGTCTTGCTCCTAACTTTGGTATTTGCACTTTGAACTGTTAACAAAATGAGTGAATTCTGGTTGTGTTTCAACTGCTGTATTGCAGAACAGCCTCAGCCGGTAAGTATGAATTTTATTTTACTTCTATGCTTTAGTGGTACACTTTAGCATTCTTCACTTTCCTGCTTTTGTATGCTAGAGTTTTAAATTACCAATTTGTCTAGTGGCTTGAGTTACTGAAATCATCAAAACTGCTGCCTTTCTGCAGTGCATGCCTTTTATGCCTACACTTTCTGATAGTGCTGTGAAATGGCCCCCTTTTTGATGTATCTGGCATGGTTTTAAGGCTGTGTTTGATGTCATAGCAAATGATGTTTGATCTTACAGCAATACACCTCTGTCAATTGATAGTGTTGAAGTGGTTGCACATAGTGCAGTGATTTCAGTATTAGCATAGAACTTTGGGAGATCAGAATTTGAATCTGCACTCAATCACAGAAATCTACTGGATTACCTTGGGCAAGTGGGACTCTCTGAACCCTAAAGGACAGCTGTGACACTTCCATTGAATAAATAATGCCTATAAAATTCTACAGCAAGGTTATCGTAAGTATGAGTTGATGTGAAGGCATGTAATAACAAAATAAATGAAGCAATGAGTTGTTGAAGGCTTTCCTGGCTGGAATCACTGGATTGCTGTAAGTTTTCTGGGCTGTATTGCCATGTTCCAGAAGCATTATCTCCTGATGTTTCACCCACATCTATGGCAGGCATCCTCAGATGAGATAATGCTTCTGAAACATGGCCATACAGCCCAGAACACTCACAGCAACCCAAAAAATTAATTGTATGTGTATATGCCAGCCTCAGTGGGCCCCAACTATTATAATGTGTGTGCATACCTCTTACAGCAGTTGGTGCCCATTGAGGCTGGTGGAGAGAAGCCAGCATAGCTAACATTTTCTAGGAAAACATACTGAATTCATATGCAGCATAGTGCAGTCAGGAGCCCTTGATGGCACAAAGGGTTAAACCACTGAGCTGCTGAGCTCGCTGACTGAAAGGTTGGTGGTTCAAATCCGGGGAGTGTGGTGAGCTCCCACTGTTAGCCCCAGTTTCCGCCAACCTAGCTGTTTGAAAACATGCAAATATTAGTAGATCAATAGATCAATAGGTACCACTTTGGCAGGAAGGTAACAGCGCTCCATCTAGTCATGCCAGCCACATGACCTTGGAAGTGTCTACGAACAATGCTGGCTCTTTGGGTTAGAAATTGAGATTAGAACCAACCCCCAGAGTCAGCCATGACTAGCCTTAATGTCAGGGGTGGAAAACCTTTACCTTTACCTATAGTTCAGTCTTTTACAAAAGTTTCACTTCTCATAATTCCACAGGATTCTATCAGGTTAGTCACTAATTCTCCTATTTAAAAAAGGCTTTGGGAAAACAATTAAGTAAATTCAGAGGTCTGAAACTCAGAATCACCATCTAATCACATCTTTTGGGCTTTCTTCCTTATATCAAGGCTTTCTCATTGGGTGGCCAGATGCAAAAAAAGGCAGGCCACAGCAAGCTAAGTCTGTTAATCCCTTCTTATAAAACGATTTAAAGTGCAGAACTTCAGCAAAGGATCACCGCCTTGT